GCTGCATGCAGGAGGATGGGCTGTGGGAAGGGCCCTGCATGAATGCTGTGTGGGGAGATCTCTGCATGAATGTGCTGTGGGAAGGACAATGGCTACCAGTAGATTTGATGTGAGAAGAGCACTGAGTGGATTTGGTGTGGGGAGGGTGCTGGGTGCTGGTGGATTTGGTGTGTGTGGGAAGGGTGCTGGGTGGTTCTGGTGTGGGAAGGGCACTTGGGTGTCAGTGGAAGTGGTGCAAGAAGAACTCTGGATGGATTTGGTGTGGGAAGGGCACTGGGTGTTTCGGTGTGGGAAGGACACCCTGTTTGGTGTGGGAAGGACACTGGGTTTTGGTGTGGGAAGGACACCCTTTTTTGTGTGGGAAGGACACTGGGTTTTGGTGTGGGAAGGGCGCTGGGTGCCCACAGGACAATGCTGAGATTCAGCAGACCGGGGGTAATGCAGAGCGAGCAGGGCTGCGAGAGGCCCTGAATAGGCCAGGCTGTGCTAGAGAAGAATGAGGGGTAGGCAGAAGGCAAGCTAGTGTTTCATGGTCATCTTATGTTACACTTCAGCCTTTCAAAGAGTGTCTGGGGCTGCTTGAATGAACCTCTCTTGCACTGCGAATGCGGGAGCCCGGAGACAAAGGGGACTCTTGTCACTCGCAGGCCCCTTTGGGGAATAAAAGCCATTGTCACATGAACAGGGGCAGTCTGGCAGGCTGTGCATGCTTCAGTGCCCCATGATATCGCTAAGTCTCAGCAGAAATCACATTCAGGGCCCTGTCAGCTTTGATTAGCGGGGTCTCATGACTTAATGTGCTGCGATATTTCATGTCTAAGGGTGGCGGCTGTCTTTCTGGGGGATGAATGCCCTCTATTGTCCACTGAGTTATTTTATTTACATTTTTTAAACAGCTTATAAAGGTAAAAAGATAGCTGTGCTTAAAGAAAAAAAATCAAATTCCTTTGCTTCTGGATCAGCAGTGAGGGCTACTCGGGTCAGATACAGTGAAACTTGTTTTCACAGTCAGCATCAAAGTTCTCGTCTTGTTTAACAGCTTTATAGTAAATTCTGAACAGGTGGCAGTGGAGCTGGGTTTAGGAAGGAAACAATAAATAATCTTTTTAGCCTCTGACAACCAGAAATATTCCTGGGCCTGAGAGACCTCCCACTCCAGCCTCTGTGTCAGTGATTCACAGAGTTTCTCTCCCCTTCATCACTTTGATTCTTAAACAAGAATATTGGATGAAGCTAGTAGTATTTTGTTTTTAGCAGGATTTTCAGTTGCTGTCCATTCAGATTTCTCTGTTTGCAAAAGCGGACTATATTTTTTTCTAATGTTTTATCCATCAATTTCTAGAAATAATGAAGGCTTGTATGTTAAATTTGGTTAATGTTTACTCTTTCAATTAAGATAATGTGGATTATCTGGTAGAGTTCAGTTAAAATTTGACATAAAATATGTTTGAGAAAAAGAGACCCAGAGAAAAAGCTGTGTAGACACAGAATTGCGAATTTTTGTCAGCAATACTGCTACAGACATAATAGAAAGGGTGATTGACAAGACTTAAACTTAAAGGAGCACAAATACTCGGAAGTGTAAAAATGGACAGTTCAATCCCCATCATGACCTTCAGTTTCAGTGCAGGGATGTTCTGAAGAGTCAGGGATGTTGGTGTTTGTAGCCATACTGCATCCATGGTGCTGGACTACACACAGTGTATCTTTGCAGATCTGTCAGTAGAGATCAGTGTTAGCATTGATTGAGCACATTAATGGATAATCAGATTTTGGATTTCTTCACTCTGGCTTTTTCTGAGCTGTTCTCAGGCCAGGGAAAACGTCTCTGATATTGCTTCTTATCTCCATTCACCACCTTAATTGTACAAAGGCTTGTTCAGCTCTTACTATATTTTAAAGTGTGTACATTTGTATTTCCTTTTTTCTTTTAAATTATGAACTATATTGGCTAAGAAGCCCAAGGAAAATGTTACAGCAGTTGTTTCTCCTATAAAGATGATGATGTTTTAGTATCCACCCCTTTTTCCTCTGAACATACCCTGCTGCAAAAGGACAGCACTAGTGGCACTTTGCCTGTCCAGTGATGCCTGTCTGGAGCAGAGGGAGCCAACCCACGGGCCATGGGCCCCTGATGCCCTCCCCAGCCTCCAGACCCACCTCTGCCCTGGACTATGCCTGGG